CTGTGAGTTATTCTGGCGCAGTCAGCTTTGATATCAGATTGAGTAATATGCCCCACGTTCACTAAATAATGCTAAAACAACGATGGGAACCAGTGGTTCAGCAGAAAACCTATTTGATAGTAGGAGGGTTATAAATAGTTTTACTGTCACCAGCAAAAGTCATTAATTATTAATAGCTTTCGCATCATTCCATAAAATAATGCTTTGCATCAAAGGCTTTTAAACTTTGCCAATGCATCTTATTTTAGCCCTTGTTTGATTGCATTAGTAGATTTATTTATTTGAAGATACTTATCTTTTTTACGCCTCAGCTGCCTGATGGCCGTGTTATAAAGGTGGGTGGTGAGCAGTTCGAAGCACCCGAGGCTCTTTTCCAACCTCATTTAATTAACCATGAGGGGTATGGAATCGCTGAAATGCTCTTTCACACAATTCAAGCAGCTGACATCGACACCCGGCCCGAGTTTTACAAGCATATTGTGCTAAGTGGAGGCAGTACAATGTACCCTGGTTTACCAAGTCGCATGGAGCGTGAGATCAAGCAGCTCTTTCTACAGCATGTGTTGAATGGGGAAACCGAGCGCCTGTCGGTGAGTTTCCTCTTTTTCCTATTTGCTATCGATTTCCCTTCCATCGGATTTTTACATTAATTTTTCTCCCCTTTTTCTAATCCCGCGTTCCTTTCTCTTATTCTTATGTATTATTTTCCTTATATTCTCACATTGAGTTAAATCACCGCCCACATCCCCATCTCTTATTTTTGGCTAAATTAACCCTTCTTACTTTGACGGAATACCTGAATACTATTTTCCATAAGATTTCGTGCTTTAGACTTATTTTAAACCCATGCAATTGATACCATGAGACCACCTCATGCTTTACCTCCAGGTTTGCATGCTAAAATGCATATGTGCTTATTCTTAAAATTGATGGGGCGTCCTTTATATTTTATGCAGGCAAATCACAAGTATATTTATCTTGCTATATAATTATTTGAAACAAACCTTTACTAATTATTTTAATGCCATTACAGTTATTTTATACAGAACTAAGGGTTAAATAGGGTACAAATACTTCTGAGCAAGATATCTAGCGCAAACGCTATCAGCCCACCTAAATATACTGCTATCCAAACTATTACTTGTTCTATCATCGTCTCATCTTCGCACTGTATTCAAGAGATGCCCTTCCTTATTTGTCCTTTCCAGATTCCGAATTTAATATCCCTTTAATATTGGTAAGGCCTGCCATCTAAATGGACATCCTATGGGACTTCGTCATTGATATACTCTGATTATACCTTCCCGCAATTCAGTGCGATCTTAGATATGAAGAGAAGCTGATTTTCGAATAATCCTTTAGTGGAATGATACTGGCATACTGTTCATTTCATTTGACAAGGTGGATGGAAGATATTCATAACTTGGTCTCACCAGATACCGAAGGAGGCTTGCTTTGGACTTTTGTCTGTTGAATTGTGCGAAGAAGTCCTCGGCTTACCGTCATAACACCTTGATGATTCCGTGCTGAGCTTTTGTCCGTCATGTGATGGACATCGTCAGAGCCAGAAACAATTATTCACGAACAATCACCAAAAGCACTAAATCAAGAAAGGCGTTTTTTAGCTATTGTTCGTGAATAGTGGTTTCTGGCTCTGACGATGTCCGTTACATGACGTAAGAAAGCTCAGTACGGAGTCAT